TTTAATTTCAGTGGTTTTCAGGGACATTTACCTGTTACTCTTGCTCTCGTTCAGCAATGGGAGGCTTTGGCCTGGACTATCTCCCAGCAACATCATCCTCTTCAGAGAGTAGCTGGCATCCAACCAGCACCCACAGTGGTCCCTGGTCAGCCCATGGCCCATCCATAGAGGATTCGTCAGCTGTGCTTATGGAAAGTCTGAAGGTGGGCTGCATATTGATTCTGTCCTTTTTTGTCAAGTTATGAATTAGATAAGAGATACGGCAAAATTCTGAAATAGTAATGATGTGTCCTTTGATATTTTTCTGATTCTTGCTATTTGGCAATGATATTGTGAACCATTTGTCTGTGACGTATGTACAATTAAGATGTATCTATAGGTATCAAATAGCTTTTCACTGATAGTATTATATAAAGATAGAAATATTTGAATTTTGTGAAGATGAAAAATTATATGGGGGATGGAGGAGTTCAAGTTTTATATAAAGGGGATTCTGATGGGAGTATATTCTGTGGAAGTCCGGGGGGGAGGGGAGGGCTAGGGGGGGTTTGGAAGGGTTAGGTTGGGGAGTTTGGGGTGGGTTGGTGGGGGGGGAAAAGGGGGGGAAAATGTATTTGTAAAACTTTTGCAATAAAAAAAAAAGATGTATCTATAGGTAGCAATAGCAATAGCATTTAGACTTATATACTGCTTCACAGTGCTTTACAGCCCTCTCTAAGTGGTTTACAGAGTCAGCATATGTTGCCCCCAACAATTTGAGTCCTCATTTTACCCACCTCGGAAGGATGGAAGGATGAGTCAACCTTGAGCCTGGTGAGATTTGAACTGCCAAATTGCAGGCAGACAGCAGAAGTAACCTGCACTTCTGCACTCTAACCACTGCGCCACCATGGCTCCTTTAGGTAGTCCTTTAGTTACAGCCACAGTTATGACCGCAACTTCCATCGCTAAGCAGCGTGTTTGTTTAGCGAGTCACCCCATGACCGTGCTTGATTTCATAACCTTTTGTTGCTGTAATTTTTCAGCAAATCAGGCTTCCCCCATTGACTTTGCTTGTCAGAAGCCAGCTGGGAAGGTCTCAAATGGTGATCACATGGACCCAGCATGCTGCAACTGTCATAAATACATGCCAGTGGCCAAGTGTTTGAATTGTGACCGTGGGGATGCCGCTATGGTCGTAAGTGCGAATAAGCCATAACTCACTTTTTCCAGCACAGTCATAAATTCTGATGGTTGTGAAACAGGTGGTCATAAGTTGAGGACTACCTTATAAGAGTACCTTCAAGTACCCGACATGTTTATTGCATTTATCATTTGTATATGGATCAGCTGTGGTGGCAAAGCATTTAAATTCTTACGGATGTATTTTACAGTGCTTCAAAGGTAGGTTCAGCCATACTGTACCAGGAAGAACAGCAAGTCAGAGACAGGAAAAGCTAGAGAAGTTAAGTGAGGAAATAAGCAGTGCCTTGAGATGTTTTTAGTATGCTCATTTTATGCATCAGAGTCCAACTTCATCTTCTGGGATGTTTGTTTCTTTGCTTAGTCTATCTGGTCCAGTTCTATGATGCATCCTGGACCTTCTGCTCTGGAGCAACTGTTGATGCAGCAGAAGCAAAAGCAGCAACGTGGGCAAGGTGCCATGAATCCACCACACTGAGAACAAAAGAGCTGGCAACCTTTGCAATCGAAAGCTCCATACATCATGGCATGTTGGGTTTACAGGACTGTCCCACACAGTTCTGTGCGCGTGGCAGCCTCTCTTCTGTTCCTTGATGTCAGGAGGGTGTAAGTGCTCCACCAACCCACTGAGTATGCACGAAAATGAATGCAGTGCAATGGAAAACCAACACCAGGAACTCTCCCATCCCACCAGGGCCTTCTGGAGGGAGAGAGGGACTGCTGTTTATCTTCACGGTAACCTGATATCACCGCCTCTCACCTTCTCCATCGTGCATGTGCCCAGCCATGTGGGAAAATAAAAAGATGGGAAAGAAGAGCAGATGGGAGAAGCCACTGAGAACTTCTCGATCCTCTTCCTCAGTACTGGGGAACCTAATAGGAATCTATTACCTATAGCTTTGCTGACTGAGAATGTAGTTGAAATTTATTCCTCAACGTCTAAATTTCGAATTATTACTGTCTCAGTAGTAAGATCACACTGAATTCTTCCATACACAAATGTGCTTTGTAGTCAGTGTGTAGCACCCCTCGAGTCACTGGTCCAGCCAGCCAGAGTTGGGTAAGTGGTAAATTGATGGGAAGGGCGAGTGTCTGGTCTCCTGGGTTAGGTAAGGCGTTTCACGAAGGAGAATTTGGTCCCTCCGGCGTCATTTCCACCTCTTCTTCAAAGGTTGAGTCTGGACGATTGTGAATGGGTTAAGGATTCCAGCAGTACTAAAGTGCAGTGGCCACTGCCAGCCCTCAGTTCAGGGAAGCACACTGCTGCTCTGGGGTTTTTAAGTTAAATGGTTCAGATTCCTGTACATTTTATGATAGCGTAGTGACCAGTCTGATGAAATGGCAAAGCTGGCCTGTGCATTCACAGCCTGACTCCTTTATGTAGGTAGGTAGAAGCTTTCTGTGTCTTTCTTTTTTTCTCCCCCCCCCCCACCTCCCAGCCCCCTTTTCTAGTCTCCCCCAAACCCTGCTTGGTTGCTTGTAGTTCTGTTCTTCATATGCAGCATCCCACCAAATCCTAGCAGGATAACAGGGGGGGCAAAGGAATTAGACAGGACAATATAGGCAGTCTCCCCTGCCAGTAAGTATATGTCCACAGGATCACGCACACGTGTAATCGCAGAGTTCCAGTTTCAGAATGGAAGGTCAAGGCAACAAGATCCCTATGAGGGGACCCATGCAGAGAAGCCGTCAGTCCCACTTGCTCCTATAAGGATGCAGAAAGGGAAAAGGTTGAACTTGATATTTATTGAGCAGAAGGAAGGCTGCAACTCTTCTTGCATAGGAAACAAGGACATTTCTTTCTTTTTTCCCCCCCTTACCTTTTTTATTTTTATTTTTTATTTTTGTTTCCCCGGGTACCTATGGAAACAGTCTAAATGTTTTAAACTGTTGCAAATGCAGGAGTATGTATGTGTACGTGTATCAGTTCAGGATCTGTGAGCCACAAAAAACAGCTGCAGAGCAAAGCACATCCGGGGTCCACAAGTGACACTGGAGTTGGGGAACAGCCCCATATAGACTATATATAAAAAAAGAAGCTGAATGAGGTAATGCTCTCTCTAGGATAGGAATTGAACTCCCTGTGCAAGCAGTGTTGCTGCTCTGGGTTATATTGCTTAAAAAAACTTTCTTTAGAAAACTTTTAAAAAAACTAAACCCTCATGGATGAAGTTCTTGCCCTAGTTGTGCTTCTTTGGCCCCTGCCCCCCTCCCAAGCCGGCTTCTGTCCCTTTTCCCAAGTTTGCGTATTTGAGCTGTGCACCCCAGCAGCTGCAACATTCCAGTGTTTGAACAGCCACTGATTCTTGCACTCTAGACAACCTAACCAGATTCTTGATTTCACACTCTCCACTGTGCCAGAATCCCGACCCATAGGTTCCCATTTCTGCATGAGAAATCTGGTGTTTGGAATGTTCTCTCTCTCTCTCTCTCTTTTTTTTTTTCTGAATCTTTAAGGCAGGGCTCCCTTCCCCATCCACCCTTTACACACATGCCCTGCCGTGGCTAGAACCTCAAGGGAAGGGGGAACCCCCCCCAGCAGAGAAAACTGGTTTGTGTCGTAAGCTTCTTTTGTGTTTTTGTCTGTCTGTGCGAGACCTGCAGCTGCTGAACTCAGCTTTGCCTTTAATTAAACCATGTTCTCTACAGCCAGTCTCGTGTAGTAACATTTTCTTTAACCAATTATTTCTTGTTAATGAAACTCCATTGATTTCTTTGTGGCAGAGGATATCTCTATTAACAAGTAGAAGGGATTTATAGAGTGATGCACACGGCAAGTGAAGTTGAATATGACAAAGCACGGTAAACAAGGTTGCATCTTCTACACCAAGAAAAAAGCAATTTGCAAGCTATGTTGTATCATTTCAATTACTGAGTGTGACAGAAAAGTTGGCAATGTTTGAGAGAGACACATGCACAGTGCTAAATGGATTTCTAGAGTTAGATAGCCAAGGTTTGACAGATTAAACTCTTTGGAACTGTCCTACAGGTAAATTCTTTTATTAAAGAGTTGGTTTTTGTGTTAATAGTAGTTGGGGGGAAAACCATACTAGTTGTGTTTTATATAGAAAATAACAAAACTACACCTCTTGAAGAAGTACTGGCAGAAATCAAACACTTGAACATTGTGTTGCTTTTCAACAACCTTTCAGTTAATTTTTTATTGCAGTAAAACACTATACAGAAGCAATTGAGTTAATTAATGAATTATTATCACTTGCTAGAGATGGATTCAGATTATGCTTTTCTGTCATTCCAGCCTCTCATCTAAGATTCAGAGATTCAAAGGCACATATGCCTTTGAAAGTTTCTGCAGTAGAAATTAAAGCAGCTGTAGCTTCTGCCCAATTTTTCTTCACGGCCCATTATTTGCTTCTGCTATGCAGTACTTAACATTATTTGCCCTAACAAGATTGCAAAATATTTTGAGATCTGAAAGATACATTTGGACATGATAACTCTACTGACAGCAAAGAAGGTTGCCAGAGATGGAAACTAAAATACTGCTATTAAACATGTATCCAGTTGCAAATAGCTGGCACTTTAGGTAAGGTGTAATAAAGGAAAGTTATAAATGATATGCATTTAAGCAGAATACACTGAACCACAATAATAGCGAGAAAAAAATAAGGGCTTCAATTAATAAAGCCAACCTTCAATATAATGAATGACTTGCTTTGAAAAAAATTAATGATTTTCTCAGTTCTTTGTGGGCTGTCAACTTATCCTTCAGAGTTATTTTCCAGATTTTGGCTGTGTTCAATGAATGCTTTGGGGAAAATGCCCACTTTCCCATTGCACGTGCCTTCCAACCACTCTTCATTCACTGTAAGAGAAAATAAGATTGAATCTTAAGCAGCATTGATTAAGGTTGAATGGAGAAATGAAATTGAAAGATAGGTGCCTCATGGAGAATTCTGCAAAAAGTTATGTGAGAAGTCTTTGGGATTTGGTAATGTTATAAATGGCTTAGTTATGGAACCCTCAGTAATTGAACTGCTTGAAGTTTTCTGTGAGGGAGAATATGGCTATTAAAGGATGGAAGTATGAGTTTTAAGATTACGATCAGAAGTTAGAAGCCTAATTTGCTAAATACTGTATTTGGTAAAAATATGAATGCATTTGGTGGTAGAGTGAGTGGATGCCTGTTTGACTGCAAAATGCAGGTGAATTGGGAAATTGGGGGGGGATATAAATTCTCCAATAGAAGCATACAGTTGTGGGATTACAAAACATTTGATACCAGGGCTGTGCAGTGCTTTGTATTGAAAGAGGGGGGGAAATGATTTGGAACACGTGAAGGTGCTCATGTTGTACCTATTTACATTTTCTTAAGCAGCTGCATCTTTCCCTGGGGTTCCACACTTGCCTAATGCAGATGCAATACCATCCTGTAAAAAATTGTGTTTGGTTTTAGTGGTCATAGATTATGCTATTTGTGTACCCCAGTGTGTTTCAGGCATCTTTTTGTTTTCCAATACAAAATCTAAGGTATGATTTTGAGCCAAGAAGCTGTAGGCTTCTCAGTTGCCATGCTACTGTCTAGATATCCTGTCCATCCCTTTTAATAGCACTGAGCATAAACTTCCCATTGCCACTGATGTATGTAAGGGAGATGAAGAGGAGGTTGAAAAAGGCAACAGAAGTGAGGAAATGCAAGATGCCCAGAGCCAATATTTCAAGGCAATTAACACTGAGGAAGAGAACTGGTTGGAAAATGGACCCGTAAAGATGGTAAGTCATAAGAAAAGAGATCAATACCACAGCACTGTATTTATTTTCCAAGAAAGAAGAGCTGTGAATCTGAGTTCCTGAAAGAACTTTTGTACACGCTGCTAAAACTTGGAAACTTTCATCACACTAGTATGATCTACCATCACTTAATTAACACATTTCGAATGAAATTCATTGAACTTGCAAAAAAAAAAAAAAACGGATTGAAATTGAAGTAAATGTGTACACTTCAGCTTCCTGTAGGTGGAGCTATTTAGTTCATGTAATTAATTATTGCTAAAATGAAAAATTGGACTTAAGGTTTAAGATGGAGGAACCAGAAGGAGAAAGATAATGTCTGAAATTACGTTTAAGTTTAAGATAAAATTTACCTTCGGCCAGAACAACAATTGTGTCCCCTTTCTGAAACTCCAGATCTTCTGCCTGAGTGGCTTCGTAAGTATAACGTGCTATAACTCGATTTGATTCAGTCTCTGTTAGTATTTTCTGCTGTGCCTCCTCACCGTTTTCCATTCTTAAATTATCTTTGCTGATCTAATGTGAGGAAAAAAACGCCTTTAAGTATCTCTCGAGGCTTTCATAATTAGCAGTTTGATTTTTCTTTTCAAAAGTACCTTCATTATAGCTGCTTGAATTGCTGTTACTTATGCACGTGTGTATATTAAGATTTTCAAAAAACAAAATACAAAACTTACCAGAAAAAATGGAAAATAAGTAATTAATAGAAGCCCTATTTAGCTATCTTAAATGATACAGCATTCTTCCAGATGTACCTTTCAAATTGGTAAATGCTAAACATCTCCTCCTATTCCTAAACATCTTACATTTCTGGGATAGGGGTGGGGGGAGAGAAGAATTATAAATGCCATTTCAGAATAATAATGGCAGCATTTTTCACTTACAGTTAAAAGGTTTTTGTGTGGTTTAGATGCAATTTTCAGAGATTAGAGATTCATCTAAATTTTAAAAAAATAATCTCAGTGGTGCTTCCCAACAAGGTATGTTGCTTTCTAATCTAGTCTGTTTTACCTCATTTGTGGTGCACCACAATGTCAAGCAGTTGTCCTTTGCATGGTTCCATAAGGTTGTCATTCCATCTTCATTCAGGATCTGATCCTTGCCATCTATTGTCTGGTAGCTAAGCAACAGAAGACTTGGTGAGGACCAAAAAGGCTTCATCCCACTCATTAGGAGCAAAGTGCTGCTGAATGGTCTTGCTTACCTCAGTGTTGTGTGTTCAGGAGGGAGTTCCAGTTTCTTACACACCTTCTCTAAAAGGCTGCTGTAAGACAAGTTGGGACTCACAAGCAGGGCTATTGTGAATTTGTAATGCACTTTGATGATATAAGGTGTTGGAGATGCATCAAACTGTAAGAGAAAACACAAGACCCTGATCAGTTCATGATTTCAGTGCATGAAAAGACATGCTAAAACTTTGCTGTGTACTTCAGGCATTACAGTGGTTAAAACTGGTGAAAATAGCAGGTACAGCTGTGGTGCTGTGACCAATATTTTTTAATTCTGCCTTTTGAACAGAATTAAAATTAAAGGTATACAGAGGCAGCAGTATATTCTTTATTTTTTTATTTGCATGCTGTCAATTTCAAATATTTATTGTCAGTGCACAACATATGTACAATGAGATTGGTTGAGCTCCCTCAGTGCACCCACCCCCCAACACAATATGGCTCACAGTCCAATAAATATTTGTTGAATGGTTTGTTAAAACATCAAAAAATGTGTTATAATGGTCGAAAATATTTCAAGTTCCAAGGACCGAACTCCAGACTGGACACAGCCTACAATACTGCATTCTAACTAGTGCACTACCAGGGCTGTAAAATGGTTGTATTGAGTAAAGAGTTAATATTTTTGTGAGAGGCAAAATTTGAGATGACAGCCCTGTTTATACAGTATATTATTTTTAAATATTTGTGTAAGATGCTGGGTCCTTGCTGGAAGTAGGAACTCCATTATCTCTTTAATTAACAGCAATTAATATTACAGTTTTGCCTGTCCAAAAGCTCACAATGAAAGGAAATCATATACCTTCAATTCTCCTCTGTGACCTGCAGAAAACAGAACAATTGTTACATAAAAAAATATTTCTTAAAAAATAACACAAAGTCCTTAGACTATGCATTTGCTTGATTTAAATCATGATTTGTTAAATGATTCCTATGGTCTCTTCATAAATTGGTATTCATAAATATGGTATAACATGAAACTGAAAATTATAATGCTTAAGAGAGTTTATTATCATTAATCAGAAATGCAGTTAATATTTCCTTCTCATAATTTGTAAAGACAGAGAATTTAGACAGAGTAACTCCGGCTTTAGCTTTGTTGGGATAGGAATAGATTTGCAGGTAGCTTTTGTAATAGCCCGAAACGTTAGGATTATTTGCTGTATGTGATTTTTACTCACTTGAAGGAAGATTAGGGAATTCTGGAGCAGCAATGCTTGGTGGAGCTGGGATATCCATATCTTTATTGTTTTCTTCCTGGAGAGAATGGAAATAGCTCGTCAAAATCCTGAGGGTAGTATATGCAGTGACTGAACTATTTTAAGTTACAACACAAAACAGGTAAGGTGGTCTCTGCTTATTGGGAATAGTAGTAGTAGTCCAGGCTTGGATTTAGCACATACATCTCCATTAAAAAAAAGATGCACTCCTTGAAGAGAGCATTGTCTCTGTCTGATGTGAACCTTTGCCATTTTTACCCCTGGTAAATCTTTCTAGAAGTTGTCATGAACTCTATTGGGCTTGGAAAGAAATTCCATGGATAAGACATGTCAGCATATGGCAGATTAATAGGTCTTATCAGGGAGGCGGAGGCTTGGACAATACTTTTTTTCCAATCTTAATTTTGTATCTAAGAAATGAAAATAGCTTTATAACTCTCCAGGCTACCATGAACTAACCAATTGATTTATTGATGATAAATCAATAGGTAACTAGTTAAAAAAAACTTACTTGAATAAATTTTAACTCCTAATAAACCTGGAATGATTAGTGTGTGTTTTCCTAAAGAAGCCCAACTGAAGGAATCAGGGAAATTCAAACTTCTCTCCAAGTCACAACCTTGTGAGAAATCTAATTGTGTACTGACAGGGTAGTATTTCCCATTTCCAGGTATCATTTTACTGTTTAAGAGGTAGTTCAACACAGAAATCCTAAATAATATGGAAGGGAAGCATGGAGATACTATGCAGCTTCATTTTTTGGTAGGCATATCCAATCCATTTTCTTACATGTAATTCTTACCAACAAAATCACTGGCTCTCACCTGGAATATAGGCTGGTTCTGTAGTTCCATTGGCTGTAAGTAGTTACAAGGCACAATCCCTTTCTACACAGAAGTCAAAGCAAGAATTTTTAACATGTTAGAATGCATCCAGATTTTTATGAGAATGAAAAAAATAACGATTATTTCTAATCTCTGTATGACAGTACTTTTATTTAGCTGATACCTTCTTTTTCTGAGCCATGTAGTTCCTCTACATCAGGGTGTCAAACTCGCAGTTGTGGGCCGGATGCGTCACGTGCTGGCCACCTCCACCCCCTTTTTAGCAAAGGGGGAAAAAACTGATACATCACATGACAACATGATGAGTTTGACACCCCTGCTCTCCATGAAAAACTGAAAGTTCCAAATCACAAAACAAGTTCCTTACATTCACGTATGGGTTCCACTTATCTTTCACTTGTGTTTGATCACCAATGTCGGAAAGAATACTGCATTTTACTACCCCGCATGGTTATGGTGTATAATGTGGAAAAAACCAAATTCTAATTGTTTTTAATATCAATTTAGGTATAAGCAAAAAAAAAAAAAAAAAACCAACAACAACCCTGACTACTTTAACTTGATAATCTTATCTCTTAGAGGCATGTTTCCTTTGCAAAGGGACTTGGAGCATAATTAGAGAAGCAAAGTTCTTGCCCTAAAGAGATATGTATTGCTTTTAGGTAAAGATAGTAATTCCAGGCCACAGGACATCCTGAATCAAAAAACAGAGCTTGAACTTGTTAGGAGATCAACAGAAATCTTCAGCAGCAAAGCAAGGGAAAGGGTCATCATGTAATATTAGATGTCCCTATGAAAGTTTTGAAGCAAAGTTGCTAAGCAGTAAGTGAACTGACCTACAGCAAAATGACTAGGTGGTGCTGCTATGAAGGCACCAGTGGAGCATTTGTGACTGGATGTTGAATTTCTCAAGAGTGAGCTTCTATTGAAATACTATATTGGTTTGTTTATGTATGTATGTATGTATGTATGTATGTATGTATGTATGTATGTATGAGGTTTATATGGCAAATTTATATGGCTGCCTATGGTACACTCAATAATTCTAGGACACTTACAACAAAACATATAAAACAGCAAAACTAACAATTGTATCTCCCTTACAGAAGTTGACACTTCCTTACCATGGTGCTATAACATCTCATCTACTTTATATCCACTGACTCCATCATGGCCCATGGCTTCAGCGAAGAGCCAGGTGTTCATGGTCTTCCAGAAAGCTAAAAGATATCTAAGCTAAACTACCGGTATTAGGTGGGAGTCTGTTCCAAAGGCCGGAGCAGCTATGGGGAAGGCATGATTCAGAGGAACCACTGAATGACAATATTTATGGGAAGGGGCTTGGAGCATGCCCATCTTGGCTGACCCGGTGATGGACAAATGCCCTTAAGGAGAGGTGGTTCAGCAACTAACCTAGCCTACTGTTATTTAGATCTTTAATCAGATTGTACCCAAAAAGATATTAGAAGCCAGTACAGCTCATACAACTGTGGTGTGGCATGGGAAACTGCAGGGTGCCAGAACTGAATACGTCACTGAATTCTGGACCATTCATAGTTTCCAAGAGGTCTTCAATGGCAGCCCCATGTAGAGCCCATTGCAGTAGCCCAGTCAGGAAATGATTTAAGGTGTGAGTTACTGTGACCAAAGGCTTCCCAGTTCAGGAATAGGCAAAGCTGGGACACATAATAAGTTTGTGCAAAGAGCCCCTTTGCCACAGCTGACACTTGCTCCTTGAGCAAGAGTAACAAATCCAAAAGGACCCTCAAATTGTATGACAATTCTGTCTGGAGAAGTATTATCTGATCAAAGTCAAAGATGATAACTTACGAAACTAGGGACAGAGGAGAGGGGGTGGCAAACCACTCCGCCTTGCTAGGGTGGGTCACATTTCATCCTCCTTATTCAGGCTCTCACAACTTCCAGGAACTGGGTAAAAATCACCTGCCCAGCATGGAGCGGAGTTGCTTAGCTCAGTATCATCCTAATACTAATGATACCATGCTGCCAAATGACCTCACTTAGTGGTTTCATGTAGGTGTTAAATCGTGATTAGAGACCCAGGCCCTGAGGCTCCCCATACAGACCTCCCTCTTTCCCCCAGCAAGCACTGATTGCAACTG